GAAACTGCAAAGACTTGTTCTATCTGAAGCCTACAAGCCTACAGTTGCTCTTCTTCTTGCAGGCCTAATGGTACTTGCTTGCTTAACTGTCAGGAAGAATGGTGTGGCTCCACTGACAAGCATCTTTGGTACATAGGTCTTCACTAACTAGCAACAAGAAAGCTTATTCTGTTCTTCGTGCTGGCACTTGGCAGTCAGCCATATGTGTAGATAGTACCATTAGGTTCCAGAAGAGCTAACAGCCTTCCCCTATCCCATGGCTGGTAGTACCAGTACCCATCCTTGAACAGAGAAGACCTACTCCAGAGACCTGCTTCCCAATCATGTCCTCTCAGACATCTCTTCAAACTAAGTTGCAGATACCCATAAGAATATGACGGATAGGATACTTCGAGAATAGATAAATACTAGAAACTGTTGCCATGAAGATCATATGTTCTCTTTCAGATACAAATTCTAGAGTTTTAAACACACACAGCATATATGTTAGTAAAAGGTGGACTCTGTGGAGGAAGAAGAAAGTCTAAAAGAAGGAGAACAGGGAGTAAGATGCGGGGAGAAACCAAACACCATGTGTTTTCACACAGAGCCAGAGGAGAATAAAGCAGAAGAGACTATGTGGGGGAAGAGGGACACAGTAAGAGAGAGCAGGGCCAAGGACGCAATTGTGAAGATGTCAGCAGGCAGCACAACTACTATGTTTGGAGCTGTTGTAAAGAAACACTGTTCTGTATGGTAACTAAAAAGATTCAACGTTGTTAGTGCTAGTAAGAGGCATCTTACCAGGATACCTGGGTAAACAATGCTCTTTACCTGTACAGACTGGAAGTAGGGGCAAGCACCCACGGGGCAGGGCATCCAAGTCTGAGAGAACAGCCAGTGAAACAAGAAGCTACCATGTTTTTATTTAAAATAATATAAGTTACCTCCTCATGAATGGTTCTTTTTTTTAAAAAAAAAAAAAAATCTAATCATATTTTTCCAAAGGCAAAAAGAAATAGATGTTTTATTTGAAACTTCAAATAAAAAAAACAAAACCTGCCTGCTTTTCAGTGGATGATGTACATTTCTACTTTAGCACTTGATCTCCACTTTTGACCCTGTCGCCTCCAGTTCATCTGTCAGCGCTTCATAGAGCACTTTCAAGCATTAGAATGCACAGCAAGAAAGGCGGCCGTTTCTATAGGCAGGTTATGGTGTCTTTGTTTTCTTCTGTTTTTACTGAGTCAGAGAAATTATAGCAGTGGTCAAGCAAAGGCAAAGAAATAAACAGGGAGTTTGCACAAAATGATTTACATATCATTAACATCATTAGCAGTGAGCCCAGCACTTCTCTGAAACTCTTAACAGTATCTTGCCTTCATAGCTGGTGTTTCTCGGGCACAAGAAAGCTGTAAAGAGATTTGGATTCAAAGGTACTCTTTTAAATTTGCTTAGTTTAATTTGCTTAGTTTAATTTGCTTAGTTTTCTCATCCTGCCCCTCCCATTAACCCTTTTGTCCCCTAGACAGTTTCACTTCTACATGCATGTTCCAAGCGCCACACAAGAGAAGCATACATGCTTTAGACGGCCCTGATCTGCTCAGTATTGGTCGTCTCCAGTCACATCAGTCTTCTCACAAATGGCATGACATTATCCTTTCTTATGGCAGAACAAATGCTATTGTTTAATCTGAACTACATTTTCTTTATCCGTTCCTCTGAACACCTGGGTTGGTTCCATAACTTAGCATCAGTGAATACACCTGCAGTAAACATGCATGTGCAGTCGTCTCTACCATCCATTGATGTCGAGCCATTTGAGTAAATGCCCAAGAGTGATTGAGAAACCTCCACTGGTTTCCATAGAAACGGGGCTAGTTTACAGCCTCACCAGCTTACAGCCTCACCAGCAGTACATGAGGGCCCCTTATTTCATTTCCTCGCCATCGTTTTTGTTGTTTTTCTCCATGACTACCATTCTAAGTGGGGTGAGGTGCACTCTCAGTATAGTTATGTATCGTTTCTCTGATGTCTAGTGAGGCTGAACATTTATACATTTTTTTTTAAAGATTTATTTATTTTATATATATGAGTACACTGTAGCTATCATCAGACACACCAGAAGAGGGCATCAGATCCCATTACAGATAGTTGTGAGCCACCATGTGGTTGCTGGGAACTGAACTCAGGACCTCTGGAAGAGCAGTCAGTGCTCTTAACCTCTGAGCCATCTCTCCAGCCCTGAACATTTAGTCTTAATGGCCATTTGTAGTTTCTCTTTTGAGAACTATCTATTCATCCATGAGCCCATTTTATTGACTGGATTATTTGTTTTCTTCTTGCTCTATGACATTTTTTGTCCGTTTTTCAGTTCTTTGTATATTCTAGATACTAAGCCTCTAGAAGGCACATAGCTGGCAAAGATTTTCTTTCCTTTCTGCAGGCTAGGTCTTCACTCATTTTTCCTTTCTGCAGGCTGGGTCTTCACAACTTTGCTGTTCAAAAGTGAAGCTTTTCAATTCTGCTTGCTGATTGTTGCATTTACTTCCTGCCGAGGTCCTGTGTAAACAGCCCTTGCCCACACCTAAATCAGGAAGTGTTTTCCCTACTTTCCTTCCTAACAGTGTCAGACTTTAGATCTACACTAAGGTCTCTGGTCCATTTGCAGCTGATGAGAAATAAGAAACTACTTGCCTTGCCTCTCAAGTGCTAGAATGAAAGGTATGGATGACCAAACCTGGTCCTATGGAAGGAATTTAAATGAAGTTACCATATAATGAGAGAAATAATCGAAGCAGTAATTAAATTAATTCGCTCTATACTTCCTGGCTGGTGTGCGTGCTTCTAGCTATCGCCCCAATGTTCTGGATTCCCGAAAGAAAGACACATGTACACTGTCTTATATTTTAAATACCTTAAACAGCTCAATGGCTGGGCCCCTCCCTAACTCCCTATGGCTAACACCACTCCCCTCTTATATTCCTGAGTTAATACTTTCTAAATCTATATTTTATCTTTGCTGCATGGACCCTGCTGGGCAGCTCTCCTGGGGCTGCTTTCCCCTGTACCTACATATTGGCTGTCTCACCCTCTGCACCTTTCCATCGTGGTCCATCTCCTATTCATCATGGCGGAATCTTCTCTTTCCCTTCCTTAGCCCCTTCCCAGGAATCCTAAAAGTCCCGCCTCTGTCTCCCTCCCCAGCCATTGGCTGCCTGTAATGACTAGTCAAAAACCAACTGGGGACAGTCTTCCTTTCGTCCTATGTGCAAGTTTTTGGGTAACATAATTAGCTTTAGAACACAAGTCGCCACAAATGCCCAAATAGACATCTTATACCACAAAGTGAAACCTCCAATGCCAGGAATGGGTTATATTTTGTTGAGTTAACCAAAGAGGTCCTGTAGACTACCCCTACTTAACATCATAGGCTACTCCCAAGGCTGTTGGTTACCCTCCACAACCAAACAATAACCAAACAGCAGTCCGTTACTGAAGATACCACTTACATCATCAAACATGGAAAAATCAAGCTGGTATCCAAATAGAAGCTTCACCCCTACTGACTAGTGTTTTTGGTGGTAGAAAGTACTTTGTATAATACTGGAAGAGAAAAGTGACCATCAGTATCACCCAGCTACAAATTCTACAACCTACAACAGTGATCTGCCTGCAAGATCTGGCACCATAGTGGCACAAATGTTATGGGAGTAACCAACCACTCTCGTGGATTTAAGGCCCATTCTATGAGATGGATCCCACACCTGACACTCTTAAAATGACCAACAGGGCTCATGTACATATGAACTCACAGAAACAGCAGCATACACAAGAACTGCACAAGTTCAAAACAGATAAAATCCCAGCACAAAGGGAAATAGACACCTAACCAAGCAGCTATCTGGGTAGCTTCTGGGAAAGGAAAAATCACTTTTCTCCAGTGGAGTGACACTGGATTTATCATCCACACTCCAAGGCAGGTCCTATTCCCAGAAGTATCTGGGCAACACAAAACAGAATCCATGTTGTTGTTGTGTGTGTATGTGTGTGTATATGTGTGTGTCTTTGTGTGTGTGTGCTCACACACATGTGTTTTGGTTTGGTATTTATTATCTTTAATGGTGTTTGTTTTGGACTGTGTATTTTTTTAATCTGTTTTTGAAAGAAGGAAGAACAGGAAGTTGGGTGAGTAAAGAGGTGAGGAGGACCTGGAAGCTGTTGAGAGAGAAGGAAAATATGTCCAAAATATATTGTATGAAAAAAATAGATAAAAAGAAATAGAGGGAAGAAAACCAAAAAATGAGATTGTTAATATGAAGAGATGCAAGTTATTTTTAATTCATTAGTTGTAACTGCCGTTTCTTTTGTAACGGCCGTCAGGTTCTGCTACTTT